TCTGGGGAATTTTGCCTACCTCAGTTTGACCCTGAATTTTTTGTTACACCAGATTCTCTGGTTGGTGATTGGCTGAAGTCTTGAATTGGTTGATCGACAAGTAAAAGAAATATAAACAAGATATGTACCCACACGTGCCCTGCGTCGTACCACATTATAACCGATGATGTAATTGGATAGCGAAAAAGCAAGGTGTTGAGGTGTTCTCTTAATAAGAAATACTTAGAAGTCTTCTACCTCCCCTCTTGTGCTGGTTTCTTTTCTCCTCAAGATCAAGGCTCTCATTAGGCTAATAGTGTTGATGGGTTTTTATTTTACCAATGCAAACCTTTCTTTTCTTCTTTATCTTTCTCTTTTACCTTCTTAAAAAAAAATAAAAATTTTTATATCTTAGGACCATAGAGGTTAAGTTGGGGTGAACAGTCTTGATGAAGGGCTGGCGATGATATTGAGATTTACAAGGAACGTGAGTCAAGATAGAGCAACTTTTTTCATTTCTCTTAATCATATCTAGAGGCCATTGGCTGTTAATGGGTGTGCTATATATAGTAAAAAAGTTTAACCTATAGTATAGATCTGTCAGATACTGGATGTCTACCCATTTGTACCTGGGGTCAGTTCGAACCCAATAGTTTTCAAACTAGTTTGAACGTAAATAAAACTTGAATATACAGCCTAATTAGGTATAAAAAAAAAAATAAAAAAAAAATAATAATAATATATAATTAATAATTAATAATTAATACAATTTATAAAACTAATCTTATCTTAATAAACTAAAAAACCATACTAATACTATTTTTTAATAAATAACAATTAAATAAATAATATTTTTATCAAAAAATTTTGTCAATAATATAAAAATTTTTTAATTTAGATTATATAACTTATTAGTCTATATACTTTTTTTGAAATTTAAGTTTAAAAGGTTATAAAAAAAAAGATTTTAAAAATTTGACTTTTATCTAATGGTGAATAAAATCGTAAAATCTATTAACTACTTGTCTACTTGTTCTAAATTTTTTAAAGCAAAAAACTTATAATTTTCAAAAAGAAATGTTACTTATATCCTCTATTGTAAAATCAATTATCTTTATTTATATAAACAATAATATTATATATTTAATCATGAAAAAAAATAATAAAAATAAATATGATAAAATAATATTTATTATTAATATATTGTATTTACACATATAAATCTATTTAAAGAATACAATAAAATTTGTGCACCAAGTAAAGTTTGATTTTTAAAGAATCATTTATTGTGTAATTTCATTATATATATTATTCAAAGAAAGTCTTTATCACTTTTAAATAGTATTATAAAACACTATAGTTATAGATTCAGTATCTCAAGGAACCGGGATGTAATTAGTCAAGCGCAGCAATCTGGGCTAGATGTGCTGAAAGAGGTCCGTGATGGGAAAGATATTTCACATAAGCTCCATCGGGTTGCAAAAGACCAGCCTGTCGTTTTTCCGCATATTCCTCCCGTGATAATTTTGTGAACCCCCATTTCTTTGAAACTACAATCTTTTGGCGACCGGGGAATTTATACTGTTTTTTCAATGGAAAATCAATTTAATATTTATGATGTTTAGAACATATCAAAAGCAACTTTTATAGAATATTACCTTTGCACGTCTAAGTGCTTCAATTACGACATCTTTGTTGTTATCTTTCGTACGCACAGAAAAGATAATTTGACCAATGTCGACTCGAGCAACGGTACCAGTCGGTTTACCAAACGCACCACGCATACCGGTTTGCAGTCTTTGGTGAAATATAAATGCACATTTTTAAAAATCTAATAAATCAAAAAAGAAAAAAAAATTTCACATCTTTACCTATCAGCACCAGCACAAGACAACATTTTATTTATTCTAATTACATGGAAGGGATGAACTCTAACACGCAAATGGAAAGAATCTTTTCCTGCCATCTTTGTGATGTATTTGTTGGCACAGATACGTCCAGCTTCCAATGCTTCACTTGATAGCTGCTGGTACTCATCAGAGAGCAAATGCACGCAAAGAGGAAATTCGTCGACATTCGCCTTCTTACGTCCCAGATCAAAAATCCTGATTTTAGGGTCTACATAAGACCGCATTGAATTAACATAATTTTCTCGGAATTAAAAAAAAAAAAAAAAATGCCTACCAGGAACACCACGACAGAAACGACTCTTTGGATATGGTTTATTTTTGCAGTACCTATAGCAACGAGCTGGACGGCGACCCATTTTTTTTTTTTTTTTTGAAAAAAAAAAAATCGATCTGATAAAAAAAGTAGGCCCATATATTTATAATTTTTTCCAGCAATTTTTTACCACATGACAAATTCCTATACGCTGCGTATGTTACGTAATGCGATATTATTAATATCGATATTAGTAATACGAAAGAAAAAATCTGGCAAGAAATTTTTTTATATCATAAACCAATCGAGTTAATTTACTAAAGACGCAGTATATGGTGCTTGTTAATAAAATTAAATATAAAAACATTATATTATTTTAATTATTTATAGTAAAATCTCTTTAAATACATTCTTTATAAATGTTTTATATCTCTAAATGAATAGTTAGGCTTGGTAAAATACTTGAGAAAAGAGTACATTTAAAAAATATTATATTGATTTTCTAATTAATATTTTAAAATAATGTTTAATATTTTATTTAATTTAATTTATATATATATGTTTAATATATTATGTTGATAAGAAATTTTTTTATTATTTTAAATTATTTTCTTTAATTAGATAATTAAGTTATTTAAAAGTTTAAAAATATTTGAAATTTTAATATATATATTTTAAAAAAAATAATACTTATTGTTTTTTTTTCTTTAAATAATTAAAAATTAAAATTAAAAAATTAAAATAATAATAATTTTTATTTTTAACAAATTTATAAGAAACAAAAAATTATTTATTTTAATCTCAATTTAAAAAAATTTAATAATGTAAATATTTAAAAATTAATTTAAATAAATTTTAAATAAATAATAATAATAATTTTATTTTAATGATTTAAATTTAAGTTATAAGATTTACTATTATTTTTATTATTTTTTTTTTTAAAAAAAATTTTATATTATTAAGATTTAACAATAATTTTAAACAAATTATTATCATTATATTTATATTTTAGTAATAACTTTAAACAAATTATCATTATTATATTATATTTTTTACATACTTAATTTATTGATTATTTAAAAAAATAAAATTTCTATAATTTTTCAACTATATTAATTCTTATAACCAACAAATAATTAAGTATTATGTTTTATTTATTTTATTACAAATTAAGAAAAAAATCTATTTTTTTTCATAATAAAATTTATCTTCACATTTTTTAATTAATTAGTTTGTATATATGATATGTATAGTATAATTACTTTGTTATATAATGTAAAATTTAGATTATTATTATCCTATAAGTACAAATTTATACAAATTTATATCAACTTAGATTATATAAATTTATTTGAATTTGAATTTTAAAAGTTTTACTTGTATACTTTCTTCAATATCCTGTAAAGATTTCGAATGATTTAAGAAACAAAATCTAAAAACAAATTTAATAATTTCGAAATCAAAATATTTTTAATATTTTATAAAACCTCAAATGCAATATAAAATAATATATTGATATGTTTATAGATTGGATATACATTTTGGAAACATGTGTATTTTCTTCAAAAAAAAATTTTTTTTATCTATTTTAATTTACGGCATATTGTATTTTCAAAAAATAATTGTGCGAACCTATATGATTCCTATTTTAAAAAAATAACTTAAAAATTATTCGCTGTATGATTTTTTAAGACATTCTTGTAGGAGACATTTGAATTATGAAATAAATAAAATTAACGAAATAATAAATCGCACAACAAACACGTTCGTAAATAGTTCGTATATGAGAAATTTTTGTTAAACACGAATGTATTCAGTAAATTATACTTTATTCATAATAGATAGAAGATAGAAGAAACAAGTTTTTTCGAAAATTATAGGTGGTAAAGAAAGTTAGGTAGTAGTATTTTAATAAATTTCTAAATTATAGTTTTATATGATAACTTCTAATGAAAGCACCATGCCAGGCAACTCTATGAATCATTCAGTATTTTTATTATGAAAATGATTATAATAATTCTGAACACAAATATGTGCCCTAGTTTTTGTCATATATTTATCAATATGTATGATTTTTTAATTATACATTTTTGTTATAC